GCAGGACGTCTTATGGAGGACGTCTGATGCAGAACGTCTGATGCAGGACGTCTTATGGAGGACGTCTGATGCAGGACGTCTTATGGAGGACGTCTTCAGCAGGACGAGCTCCGGCAGCGCTGCGTTCACATTTCATCCAGGGGTTCAGTGTGAAGCTTCAAACGTTCAACGTTCACTTCCTGGTTTGAAACAGCAGCAGCTTCCACACGGACAGACAGGAAGTGACCTCATCCTGTTGGTCCATGGTGGAGGTCTAGCTCAGTCAGATCCTTCCTGGTTCTCCAGAATCGGATCTGAGGACAAAGACGATGAACGATGAGCAGCTCTGCAGTCAAACTTTAAACCTCATGTTGTTGTTGATTTTAGATTCTTAAAATGAAAAAAGATATGTGTGTGTGTGTGTGTGTGTGTGTGTGTGTGTGTGTGTGTGTGTGTGTGTGTGTGTGTGTGTGTGTGTGTGTGTGTGTGTGTGTGTGTGTGACCTGTCAGTGTGCTGCTGATGTTTGGAGGAGACACAATCAGCACGGCGCTGCCGGATATTATCCCAGAATGCACCACTGGACCCTCAACAGACGGTGAGCTCAGCTCCTGATATATACACACACACAGACACACACACGTATGTGAATATTTAAAAATAATTCTCTTATATCTCTTAAATCTTGTAAAGTCTTCGTTTTTACTCTGAATACATTGTGCAGGTATATTATGCAGTATGTTGTATATAAATACTCAATCATAGTCATTTTGGGTGAACCTTGTCGCTGAAGCCGTCTGTGATTGGCTCCTGAGTTTCCGTAACAACGTTCTCCGACCCCTCCAGGAGACTCGTGGCATCGAGCCGGTCGTCCTGGCTCCGCCCCTCTGTCGCCACAACCAGCTGCGATTGGCCGAGAGGGTCCGAGGAGGCGGGGTCAGAGGTGACCGTCTGGATGATGACGCCGTCGCCGGAGCAGAGGCCGTCCGTCTGAGGCGGGAAAAAAACAAAAACACACGAAGATGGAGATGAAGAGTGTAGAACAAATAACACAAGACGCTTTACACTCGACGTGGTCTGAAACCGACCGACAGGCTGTGGAGGATGATGTGCTCGTGGGACGAGGGGGAGGAGCCCGTGGTCAGGGTAACCGTGCTGTTATTGGCTAAGCTGAGCGGGAGCCCCTGACTGGTGGAGAGGCTGAGCGGGAGGCCGTGATTGGACGACGTCTGCAGGTAGTAGGTGCCCGGGGTGCCGGTGGGCTGCAGGTGGAAGGACTGGAAATAAAGACAATAGAAAAACAGAGCAAGTTTAATCGAATTTACTGACAATCTGCGAAGCAAAAATGCTCATTTATGTGCGTTTCCATCCACTATACTGTTGATGTGACTGTTAGCTTCAAACAGTAGGTGGCGCTAATTCATATTGTTTATATTTTTGGATTGAGTTTCACAATTTCCCTCAAGACACATCGTCATTTCTTATGTGTAGAAGCCGAGTGCTGCTGCAGAACTCTAGTATATCGATGTGTTTGTGCTCACGGGCAGGATCTCGAAGGTCTGCAGGGCTCCGGTGTTCAGCGTGACGGTTTCACCGTCGCTGGCTGCTGCTGAGGAATCTGAAGCTGACAGAGAAAAACAAAAAGGTGAGTTAAACACAACCGTTGATGTAAAAGTCTGCATCGTCTGCATAGAAACACACTCAAACTCTCACCCAGGTGTGTGATCTGCAGCGGGATCTGAACGGGAATCTGCAGCGCCGCCATGGAGCCGGGGGCGGGGCTGCCACCGCCGCCGACGCTCTCGTCCAATCGGGTGAGTCGGATCTGGAGCGAAGAGGAGGAGGAAGAGGAGGGACTTACCGGTCCGGACACCGTCTGTGATGACGCCATGAGCTCCTGGAGACCCTTCAGGAGGACTGAGGACAAACACAGGGTTGAGTGTCAACAGTTTCCTGTGATTTATTATAATAATATTATTATTATATTAGAAAGTAATATATTATATGATAATAATAATAATTAATATTATGTTAGATAAAATTAAAAAAACGGTCTAAAAAAAATCCTCCAAAAGGTGAATTAAAAACTATAAATAAATCTTTACAACAAACAAACTGCAGCTTCAGATGTAAACACTCTTGAGCACCGTTGAAGGGGATCTCCTTGTGATTGGCTACTTGTCTCTTGATGCTCCACCACTTGGATCGCAGCCACTGAGGCGACCGGACGCTGCTCCACCCGCCGGCGAGATCCTCCCACTTGATTTCATTCTCATCCTCCACCTCCAGCTCCAATATCCTGAAACACATCGTTGAACTCTTTTAATTCATGCATCATAATCTTGGATTCATGCGTACAATGAGAGAGCGAGAGAGAGGACAGCGTACCTGCGTATGAGGTTGAGGTCGTCCTCCTTCATCCACTCGGTTCCTCCGCTGTGTTTCCAGTTCAGGTAGTTCAACCACTTCGACCGACACTGTTTCTCTGAGCGCGTGCGAACCTGATCGGCAACCGACGCCCAAGAAACGCCGCCCGTGACCGCCGAGCCCGGCGATGCGCCCGCCATCTCGTACACGACCTCAGCGAGACGCCGCTCCTCCTCCTCACTCCATTTACCTAAAGAACAACAAAGAAGAAGACGACAAATGTTTCATATGAAAAATAAACAGACAAACCATCCTTTACTTAGAGTGACGGTGAGGAGCTTATTACTAACACGTCAACTGTTGGTCTCAGCTGTACTTCTATCAACTTTTGGGGAGTTAAACTTCATATTTTGTGTGTTTTTGTACAAAAAAAATCTGAATCTTTGGTCAAGTTGCCGGACAAAGTAGTAAATCTTTCCCTCTGAGATGTAGTAGAAGTATAAAAGAAGTAAAGTACCTCCAGCATGTACTGGAGTACTCTACCTGTGTTGCAGGTGTCCTTCATCAGTCGGCAGCGGTCTTTGACTGAAGAGGCGCTGCGACCCAGAGCTGCTCCGATGGTCGCCCAGTCGTTCCCGTGTTTCTCCCTCAACCTGAACATAGAAACGATACTCGATTTTAATAAACACACTTTTCATTTACTTCATTATTAAAAGAAAGACACGCAAAGGTTTCACTCACGCTTTGAGCTTCTCTATCTCATCAGGAGTGTACCTGAGGGAGATGAATAAACACGTTCAAAGTGAAGAAATAACAAAGTTAAGTTGTTTTTCCCGATGTCTGAACCTCGTGAACTCACTTCCCGACGTGGTTTCGGTTGTCGTACATCCGTAGAACTCGTCTGTAGACGGCGAACAGCGGCCGGTTCAAGCCCAACGCCACGGAGCGGTAGAAGTCCTTCCTCTCCTCTTTGGACATCTCGAAGATGATCTCCGCCGGGTCGTCGATGCCTCGGCCCTGAAGCCAGAGCACGGAGGAGGTTAGGGGTTCAAACATCGAACGACATGTACGGGACCGAAATAGAGACAGGAAGTGACGAACCTTCACGTATTGATCGATGTTGCTCATCAGAAGGTCGATCTCCTCTTTGGACCACATGCCCTGTTTCCACTTGTGACCTGAAGGGCGGGAAATGTTACATATTATTATATATATTATTATAAATGTAATGAGGTAATAGTTATCTGTACACAGTAAGTTGTGACAAAAGGTGGGTGAGCTTGTTGTAAATACAGTTTCAGTTGCATTTAAATCAATCCAGGATTACTGCGACGCATAACAAGGAAAAGAAATGTTACGTGAACCTGTGCTGTGTTCACACCTTTGTTAGCCAGCGTGTCTTTGTCTTCTTTCGTGGTGAACCAGGCCTGACTGACAGGTGACACCTCTGACTTCTGATCGGGCGAGAGAGACTCCTCCTCCTGCTGCAGAATCTACACACATGAAGGAGGTTTTATTTTAAGAGCACAACAAACAAAAAGCTTCGTGAAACATCGAGACTTTAAGTCGACATATAAGCAGTCCGGTGACTTTGTTTAGCGTTGATTCTGTCGCCCCCTGTGGACTGAAGTGGTAGTGTTTCTGGGCACCAGACTCTTTAGAAAACCTCTCATGTTACTGCAGCAGGGTCTGACAGTCTGCCCCTCTGCCCCTCTCAGTCCTGGTTCTGGTTCTCCCGTGCCTCCTTTCCCTCCAGCGGGTCCAGCAATACGTTTCTGGTGAACCTGCATGAGTTCATCTGGTTTCACCAGAATCCGACCCGGTGGCTCCGATGACGAGCATCAAGAATAACTCTATAGAAACAGACCATCTTCTCTCTGATGGTCTCTTTACTGATAGAGGTCTGATAGAGGATCAGGACTACACTGAGACTGGTTCAGGACCAGATAAAAGTAGGAGGAGCTGGTTCTGCACCTGAATCTGAGCGACTCCTTCCTCAGAGAGATCCCCGTCCGCTGTGGCCGTCATCGTCACCTCGAAGCCTTCATCGCTCTCCGACACTGAGGAGGAAGAAGACGTCAACATATATATATATATATATATATATATACACATATATATATATATACACATATATATATATACACATATATATATATATATATAGATGTTGTTGACATCATGTCAGTGATGTAAAGACTCACTCGGTAAAGTGACCACAGAGAACTGAGGAGTGTCCAAGTCGTCCTGTTCTTCAGTAGAGAGGCGCAGTTTCTTCTGAAGGGGCTCAGAGTCCTCGTCTACACACACACACACACACACACACACACACACACACACACACTCTTCTTTAAATTGTTTGGTTTATAAAATGTAAAATGTTTGTCCTAAAGTCTAAGTCTAATTAAAGCGATTAATATGATTATTAATAGACCCATATATATTAGCCGGTAGATGACCCACCGTGAGGAGGGCAGTGCAGGATGATGCTTCCGTCGCTGTCCTGAGTGAGCGTGACCGACTTCACGGTTTCTAACGCCGCCGCGTCCTCGTCCTCTGCTGCTGAACTCATCGTCCACCTGGAGAGGAATCAAACACACGGGCCGCTGTGTCATGGCCACAATGTGTGCAAATAAAGATTATTTTAACTATCTATGAAGTTAATTTAATCAAGAACAGAACATGGATGAGCGTTGTGAGAGTAGAATTCATAGCACAGCATTTGTACCTTTAACAAAGTGCTTATTTGGGGTTATTTTGATGAATATAAATGTATTAAAACAGGCCAAAATGTTATTTATGAATAAAATATACATTTAATACAAATTGTGCATTAATTGTTTGACAGTATTTATAGAAATTAGCACGACACATTTCATAAAATGGGATATTTATTCAATTTAATGGCATTTATGTTGCTTTAAATTAATTTAATGAATAAATATTACATTTATTTTAGTTGTGATTGTTTTATAATAATACTATAAATTGCTTGTATATGCACATGCAGAGAGAAAATATTAGATTATCTGAGTGAACTTGTAGGTACTTTGGATACTTGGATAATGGCTTTATAATATATTATATAATAGTATATTATAATATATAAGTATTTAATGATGTTAAGACCAATTGAAGAACAGCAACATCTGTACAAGACACCTAAAAGTAAAGATAACTTCATAATGTCACGACAGGAATACAAAAACAAAATGTTTATTTATTGTTCATTCACACCAAACTGCCTGAACAAATATACTAATTTAAAGCCAAATTGCATATCAGCAAAGACGTTCACCTCCCACATCGGTCCTTGTGACATGTTACTCATCGTTAGTTGAGATCAGTTAATTCGGGTGAGAATTAATCCATAATTTGTGAGTTATTTTAATAAAAATGTGTATTTATGTTGAGCTGCTCGCTACCGCCCTCTGCTGTTTGCAGTGGAAGCTCAATACTGCAGATACGGAGCAGAGGCAGCACAGCCGGTATAATTTGGTTAAAACCTGCTAAGATGCTTGTTGGACAATATATGCGCCGAATTATAGGCACGATCACTGTGAGAGGTTTTACTTCAAAGTTCAAATTATAAATGTATGTATTGGTCAGAAATAAGCAAGACGAAGTAGAATGGGTCTATTTTTAAGTGGAGTTTGGCTGAATCGCCAAGTGGAACACAGGGATTTAGCGGTAGAAAGAGACTTTAACGTGATGTAAACCCACAATAGCGTTGTAGTTTAAAAACACACAGAGCAGCAACGTAGCTACATTAACGTTAAACTATGTTTCCAGGAGTAAGCTGTGATGCTAACCGTTAGCATCCACCAAGCGAAATAAAGACGAAAAATCTCCGGCGCCATGTTAACTCGACAAGGTGAAAAGCTTGTGGCGTATGTGCGGGTTTTTTACGGTATTCTGACGGTTTGTTCTCGGTTATTTTCCCGCAATTGAGCTTTCTGCGCGCGCTCCCACACGCCCCCCGACTAGCAAACAGAAAGTGATTTTTTTTACGTTTGATTCGGCTACTTACTTCCTGTTTTTGGTCCGGGGACTTGTGAGTTACCAGGATGAAGGTAAAGTACCAGGATGGAGGATCGGCCGAGGGCCCGCGGGGTTGCCAGATAATACTATAATCCGTAAAACTACAGGTACCTGCTTTAAAATGTTGTTTTAGGAACATATTGTTACTTATATATTGTATATTGAACATTTTCATCAAGTAATACATTGAAATAAGGGAGTAAAGTACTGGAGATATAAATGCTTTAGACTTCTATTCATTTTTTATTTAATTATATTCTAATTTAAATAATGGAGATAACACATACAATGCTTTTATGTTTTTATCTTAAATTATGAAATAAATAAAGTACAATTTAATAGAAAATCATTGAAAACTGTTTTATCCATTTGCAAAAGTTCATTCTTGACTTTGTCAATAATCTGAGATCGCTGATGAAGACTGAATGTGTGGTTGAAAGCTCTTCAAAAAGACAGTGAGTGGACCTTGAGTTGCGTTTATACGGCTAAAGTGTGTCATTTGTTTTTTCTAAATTGATGTGTAAGAGTCAAACCTGGCAACCACTCTCTCCGCTCTAAAATCTCTCCGGGTAACAACGTGACTCTTATTTATTTTTGGGGTTTGACTAAATTAATGTAAAGTAGACGTAAAAAAATCTACATTAACATTAAATATATTTGCGAATTTAATAAAATATATTTCCTGCGACTATAGTTGTGTGATTTGTTAAATGGATAATAGTTCCGGCTGTTGTTTTGACCGGACCACTATCAGCGACGGACCAAAACGTTCAAGCTGCAAAAATCCAAATCACACATTTTTAACAGCGAATATTTAGCCAAAAACATGGCAGAACAACCGGTGAGAGTGTAAGTTTAACTTTTATAAATACTTTATTATTACTTAAATCACGTTTAATCTCTTTAAATGTTGAATATGTGACGATTTAATGTGTTTTATTTATTTTATCTTAACCGTTCTGACTCTCACCGAACCTCATTCAACGTTTATATAATTTAAGGTTGCGTTACTTTCTGACACGTGTACATACGTCATAAATTATGATCTAAATGCATAATCGATATTTATAATGAGGACTGAACAATTCGGCATAATTAAGTTGTTCTATTATAGCTGGAAGGAGGAAAGTTTTTAATGTGACACTGACAATAGAAGAGTTACAACCGGATCCTTTACATTAGTTTCACATGTTACTAATGTAAAAGTCACGTGCTAGTCAGGTGATGTCGGCCGAATTTCATTGTCTTTAATGTACAATAAAAAACACATCATTAAAGGCTCACTTTGAGTCATTTGGAGTCTTTTTAAAGGAATTCTGCTTATTTAAGTCTATTTTTAAGTCTATTTTACAATATATAAATATTTATACCATTAATATTATATTTTATATACATATTTATTTTCCTTGTTGTCAGATTACAGTTGTGGGTGTTTGTTTGTTCACAGCTTGGCGTGTGGAGACGTTGAAGGCCGGCTGAACGCTCTGTTCTCCAGAGTGCAGAGCATCCAGAAGAAGACGGGGCCATTCGATGTGAGTCACGAGACATTTGAGTTGTTTTTATTAAAGTTTACAGAAACATAAATCTAATTCTGATCTCTTTCTTTCCTCTCAGCTGCTGCTGTGCGTCGGAGAGTTTTTCGGGACGTCGCCGGAGGCCGAAGCAGAGTGGCAGCTGTACAAAACCGGAGCCAAGAAAGGTACGAAAACATCTGGATGACCAGATGTTGCACCAAGTTAGTTAGTTTGTACAAGTTGTTGTTGTTTTTAACGTTATTTACTCTGTAATACAGGTGAGAAGAAGGTGACGTACCTGAAGATATTAGAGTTTCTATGAGTGAAACACAACTGCATTTTAATTATAACATTATAAATATAAGAAATAGTTAATGTGTTATTTTAAAGCATCATTTGTTGACAGTGTTCTTGAGTTAAACCATCTTTTTTTGCTGTATTTCCTCCTTTTATCTTAAATTAAATAACAATAGCCTCTTATCAGATATTGTACATTTTAGTATTATTAAATAGTTTGTATTAAAACAGTGAAAACCAGGCTGATAAAGTTCTGTTTTCTGCTTCCTTCTGTCACCTAAGCGTCCTTTGTGCCTCCTCAGCTCCCGTCCACACTTACATCCTCGGAGCAGCGAGCCAGGAGGCGGTGAAGTGTTTCCCCGGCGCCGACGGCTGCGAGCTGGCCGACAACATCACGTATCTGGGTAAGAACATCTGGAGCCTCTGGAGAGAGGGGGGGGGGGGGGGGGGCTGTAGTCGAGTTGAACATGTTAACGGTCTCTCCGTGTGTTTGTAGGTCGGCGCGGTGTGTTCACGGGCGTGTCCGGGCTACAGATCGCCTACGTCAGCGGTCGGGAGGCCCTCCAGGAACCGGCCCCGGCTCACTGCTTCACCTCCAAAGACCTGTCGGCCCTCGTGGCCCCGCTGACCGGAAGCTCCAAGTTCAGAGGAGTCGACGTCCTGCTGACGTCACAGTGGCCCCGAGGCGTGTGGCAGTACGGGAACGCCCCGGTAACCTTCATATTAACGATGTTACTTCACTGTTACATAAAGACGTGGAATAACTTTTAAACTGCATTTAAAGTTAATTAAAATCCTTTATTTTACTTTATTTTATTTAATTTAATTTTACTTTATTTTATTTCCTTTTATTCTATTTCATTATAAATGTATTTATTAATTAATTCACTATGAAATTAACTTCAAATTGGTTATAAATAATATTGTTTATAATATTAATGCATTAAATGGCGGCGTGTGAACAATGTGTCAAAGTTGTATATTAACGCATCAAATTCTGACTTTAAATATTTAGATTTAGGTCAGAATCATCCGTTACAGACGACTTCATCGAGGGTTCAAAAGTGTCAAACGTTTATCAATGATGTCAGAAGCTCCAGAGCAGCCTCTCAAACGCATCGTTTCCTTTAACTCTCCGCTGTTGTTCTCTCGTGTTGCAGGAAGTGAACACTAAGTTTTGTGGCAGCGTCTCCGTCGCCGACCTCGCCGACCACCTGAAGCCGCGATACCACTTTGCTGCACTAGAGGGCGCTCACTACGAACGGCTGCCCTACAGGTAGACGGAGGAGGATTCACATTATTCCTCCTGTGTTACTCTGTATGACGGAGTGTTAGTAAAACAATATTAAAGAAATACTGAGCTGGGATGGGGGGGAAATATTACTGTTTTATATTTAAAATATCCAAGAATGAAGCGTTAAATTTATGAGAAATAAATTCACAAATTTAAATTGTTTTCCAATAAGAAGTTTTTATTATTAGAAGTATCTTTTTCTTGTAAATTAGTGAATTTTTTTTCTCGTAAATTTGTGGATTTTTAAAAAAATGGCCCTAATAACATCCGTCATAACATCTGTTCTAACGATACTCTTCATGTGTTTCAGGAACCACGTTATTCTCCAGGAGAACGCTCAACACGTCAGCCGCTTCATCGCACTGGCGGCCGTCAGTAACCCGACCAAGAAGAAGGTTCGTCTCCTAAATCACAAAGAACGTCGACTTTTAACCTAAATCTCTGATGTTCAATGTGATGAACATCCATTAAAAAAGTCTGCCTGTCTGTCTGTCTGTCTGTCTGTCTGTCTGCCGCAGTATTTGTACGCCTTCAACATCATCCCCATGAAGACGATGGAGGCATCAGAGCTGGTGAAGCAGCCGCAGGACGTGACGGAGAACCCGTACAGACGCTCCACCAGAGACAAGACGGACAAACAGAAGACGAGCTTCACCACACAGGAGGAGGTAGTGTGGGTGTGTGTGTGTGTGAGCGAGAGAGAGCGAGAGAGAGCGAGAGAGAGAGAGAGAGAGAGAGAGAGAGAGAGTGTGAAGAAGTTATTTTTCTTATCACCTAAAGATTTCTATTCGTGCTTATTATATCTGCCACTCAGATACTTTCAAAATAAAGTTTTTTTTTAACGGTGCTAAATGAGGCCATGTGTTGCAATTTTATTTTGAAAAACCCAACCGTCTCTCTCTCTGTCCTTCCTGTTCAGGAGCCGGCCAATCAGTTCTTCTTTGACCTGAGTCAGAAGCAGGGGGCGGGGTTTAGAGGCCGAGGCAGGAAGAGGTATTCAGATGGAGACGGAGAAGGAGGAAGAGGAGGAGGAAGAGGAGGAGACGGACGTCCTGAGGGACAAAACAAGCAGCCCCGCAGGCACCGTGAGTCCAACACCTGTCCTCGTAGCAGGAGACATTGTAGGTTCAGTAAAAGTTCCAGTAAACCTTTAACATTCTTATTTATTTCATTTGTGTGCAGCTCAGCCGACCGGTCCGTGCTGGTTCTGTCTGGCCAGTCCTCAGGTGGAGAAGCACCTGGTCATCAGCATCGGAACACATGTGAGTTCACTTAAAGATATTTATATATTGTACAAATACAACAACATTAAGGTACTGAGGTGTGTTCGTATGTTGCAGTGTTACCTGGCTCTGGCCAAAGGCAGCCTGACGCCCCAGCACATGCTGATCCTCCCCATCGGTCACTACCAGTCGGTGGTGGAGCTGAGCTCCGAGGTGCTGGAGGAGATGGAGAAGTACAAGTCGGCCCTGAAGAGCTTCTACAAGAGCCGAGGAGAGCGCTGCGTTCTGTTTGAGAGGAACTACCGGAGCCAGCACCTGCAGCTGCAGGTAGACACGCAGGTTTAAAGAGACAATATGAGCATCACGCTGCTGTTTCACTTCACAGTGTGGTGTTAAATTAACATTTAAATGCAACTTTGTTGTTTTAAGTTAGAAAAAACACACTCGGTGCCAGTTCATTGAGTGTTTTGGGGTCTGCTACTAATATTTTCTTTCATTTTCGACAAATTCTCTAATTATTTTTGCAGTAAATCATTTGTCCGGAAATCACAATTTGCCAAAAACGTTGACAAGCATTAGTTCTGCAATTGCTAAAACAGAAGATGAAAAACTGACGTTATTGTCGGTTAGGATGTCGTCTGTTTGACAGTATTGCGTCACGTTAGCAGGTGTTTCTATTATTTTGTCCACCCCGTGTGTATGGTGACTCATCTGATTGGTCTTTGATCAGGTGGTCCCGGTGCCGCTGGACCGCTGCACCACGGAGGACATCAAGGAGGCCTTCATGGTGCAGGCTCAGGAGCAACAGATGGAGCTGATGGAGATCCCTGAACACACCGACCTCAAACAGGTACACACACACACACACACACACGCACATACGCACGCACACACAGAGACACGCACACACACATACACGCGCACACACACATATACACAGACATACACGTATACACGCACACACAGACACACCTGGATCACATACATGCACGCACACTATCTCTCTCTCTATCTCTCTCTCTCTCTCTCTCTCTATCTCTCTCTCTCTCTCTCTCTCTCTCTCTATCTCTCTCTCACAGACAAACAGAATTTTAAAGTTGGCTGTTTTTTAATGTGTTTGCGTTCAGATTGCTCCTCCAGGGACACCGTACTTCTACGTGGAGTTGGACTCGGGGGAGAAACTCTACTACCGCATTCAGAAACACTTCCCTCTGCAGTTTGGAAGGTAAAACCGTCTGCATTTAACATTCAACACCCTCAGTGAGGGATGAGTAGAAATCATATGTATTATTGTCTATTGTGCTAATATGACTCGTTTTTCAGTACTTTTAATGGTGCTAGACGAATACAGGCTTCAACGGGGCTATAAAGATAATGCTACTATCCACCTGTGTTATTAGCATGTGTGTGTGTTTTATATTTATGTGTGTGTGTGTGTGTGTGTGTGTGTGTGTGTGTGTGTGTGTGTGTGTGTAGGGAGGTTCTGGCCAGCGAGGCGTTGCTGAACACCCCGACTCGAGCTGACTGGAGGGAGTGTAAACAGAGCCGGGAAGAGGAAGAGGACGGCTGCAAGCGGCTGAGAGACGACTTCCAGCCGTATGACTTCGCCTGGGAAGACTGACACACACACACACACACACGCACACACACTTTCTACAGAATCTCCCTCCTTTTATATTGTGAAAGAAACGGTTCACTTTTTTTCCGCTTCGATCGACACCACTCACATTTCCGTACGGCGAATGTGAAGCTACATAGCTGCAG